GTGCTACTTTTATCCCTAATTTACAAAACTGAGGTACAGAGAGTTTAATATTAATAATTCCCACAGGGTCACACAGGTGGCAGATGGCAGTACCAGCCTCCAACCCAGGATCTATGCAGAGTTGGAGCACCTGTTAACACTTTTTAGTTTGGGGCCAAATATTCAGAAATGTTCACTGACTTTGTGAAGGAAGAATTGGCAAAAGCTAAATCACCCTAAGCAGCTGCTTTTTCAAGAGATACCACAAAGCCTACCAAGATGAATGACAAATTTGCTCCCCAAGTCTGGGTGCAGAGTAGGCACAAAGGAACTAAGAGAGGCTCTACCGATCATTGAGTCTAACCTTCGTTTCAGTTAAGAGACTGAGGTCACAAGAGGTTAAACCACTTGTCCAAGGTCACAGAGCTGGAGCATGGGCTTTATCACCAGTCCATTTCAGCGACTTCTATAACACTATGTTTAATATATTTTATTTTTCCTGAAGGCAATGATATCAGCCCTTAGTCAAACGCATAATAGGTGCTTATAACAGCTACTCAATATGCATTAAATGATGCCTACCTGAATAAAATGCTGTTCATCTTTAAATGGGCTTTCACAGTGCTTACATCAGATGCATTCACAAAAAAATGGACTTCTGTTTTCTTCTCAATAAGTTCAGCTGTTACCGGCCGCCAGAGAACAATCTACAGTTTTAAGGGGAAAAATTGATAAAATAAAAGAAGAGTTATTCACGTCATTCTCATCTGTAGCTAGAGCCATAAAAGTTGTGTCTGTAAGGGACATGAAAAGGACACTTCCTGGCCACAAGTCTTCATCCACACACATGGTAATATAAACATTTCTTTTGTAGTGAGCTTTTTAAATTCTTCTCTGTAACTCTAGTTGCTAAAGAGGACCTGGAACCTATCAGATACTCAGTAAATATTTGATGAGACAATGAATGAATGAATAATAATAATGAATGGATGGCTCAGTTGTAAAACTAGATGTGTATGTCAGATGTTTAAAAGAGACATGAGATTTTTGCCTAGAAAGTTGATTAAACATTGATTTTATTTTTAATAAAAATTTCATGTTCTCGTAATTATTATCATGACATTGTTCCTTTTTAAAAATCTAACGATGGTCTTTGGGCAATGCCTT